ACGTTGGCAGTGCTAATCGGCCGTACAGGCTCACTGCCGCACTGCCGCGTGGACGCGTAAATAAAGTCGCGCTGCCGCCGCCGCCGTCGTACGACGTGTCGTGCAGCAGCTACAGCCCCGAGTGTATATGCGCAAGAGCTTTATACAAACCCCACCTCGAACGCGACTCGAGGGTGTAAAATTGATTGCGCCTAAGCAATCATCGGGCTCGGTACTCTCTCGTTTTGCGAATTAATCGACGATAAGAGTTTCGAGTCTGGTGAGAGAGAGAGAGAGAAAAAGAGAGAAAGCTTGTATAATAATAGTTATTCGCCTGTACTGCGACTCCACGAGCCACAATAAAGAAGGAAGCCATTCGTTTCTTTCGCCGCGAGCAACTTTATACAACTCGAAAGGACTCGCGAGCAATGGCCCCTTTCCGCAATGGGACAATTTTAACGTCTTACTTTCGGTGCGACTCGAGCTCTTTAGCTGCAATATCGAGATTTTCTTTTACAGATAATTCACCAACATTTTTTTTTCTTTATCTACTGATGCATTATGAAATGTTCACTTATTAAGTTGTTTGGGTTTTTTCAGTTTGTATTCGACTTTAATCATGCGTAAATTTCACAATATTGAATTTCAACATTTTTTTATTATGTTCTGTACATGATATAAACATAAAACCTAGATAAGAGTTCGATAATAATAAATTATTTACTATTTTGGTAGCATCTTAGTATATCATTCCATAAAGCTCGTACTTACGTAGAACTCGTTTCATTTAATTTAATATTAGTATTTTTTTTTTTAATTTATTCACTACATATTATCGTTTTGAATTTTTTCACCCCCTAACTCTCACGCGCTCATAACTCTTCTAGGATAACTTTGTTAGCTAAAAATTAATTTTCGAATATATTTCTTCAAAAATTTTCAAGTTCAATGTAATTGTATAATTTGATCGTTAAAGATTACAGTTTTATCGTCGCAGAAATATCTGGGGTAAGCTATCGATAAAATCTATGGATAAATCAAAATCATATGAAAAATCGATGCTGCGACCAAAAGATAGGGTACAGCTGAGCTTTTAAAGGATCAAACTTGAAAAGAAGGGAAAGGGTCAGAAGTTTAAAAATGCTCGCCGAGAGCTTGTAAGTAAAGTCAAATAAGTTATAAGAGGAGCTAGCTCGAGGCATCTCACGCGTTGGTGGACCAGCACGGGGTCTATAACTTTCGTTCTAAGCACCCTCTCGCCTGCCGAAAAAGCGGCGAAAAAGAGTTGTCGCTCAAAATCAATATATAGAGGTCGCTCTGCTACTGCTGCTACTAATGTTGGCGCGAGCGCTCGAGCGACCGTACCAGCACCAGCATGGCACTCTGTACGAGCTCTCTTTCAGTAGTAGTAGTACTAGTAACGTTACCCAGTCTCAAGAGGTTCGCCTGCGCTCCAGCAGTCGAGAGAGTAAACCATGCTGAAGCACCCGCCAGTGCCAGGCGTTTCGATAAATATACACTCGCGATTTATCTACTATATATTCTGTATAAATGCTGCCACCGACAATTTTACTCCTTTTTACCAGCGCACGCGCGCGCCTTTGTCATTTTTCACTGAGAGAGAGAGCCTGTACAGCAAATTTCATCACATATTTTGATGATCAATAACAATAGAAGCAATGTACGATAATATAATGATTACAGATCAGTAGAGTTTGTTTTGTGTTTATCAAAATAAAAAAGCTCATAAACTAATCGTCATCGGCAAATGAGTTTTAGTGGATGTAAAGGCTTGACCACTTGAAGTCACTCTTAGTGTCTGAAAAACATATTTTATGAGGCCAGTTGCCTAAATTCCGATAAGGATATGTAAAATTTTATCAAAATTGATCAAGCATGCGAAAAAAAAAAACACGTTTTCCAAACATTTTTCATCGACAGAAATTTTAGTAATGAAAAGCTCACCCAAGTGCGCTTCATCGATCCAATCCAATTTTACAATTACGAACGTTCTTACGAGCACTTGTAGTAATGTTTTTAATATATACCTCTGAACAATTCATTATAAGCTCGCTTGGCATATTCATAACTGGCGAACGCATAAAAGGTTCGCATAATTCTCCTATATCAATCTTCATGAACTGTCATATCTTAATGAAATTTCGCCAACGCAATGCGAGGTGGAGCTCTATTCATTTGCAAGTACAGTTACTTAAAGCGAAACTCGTACACAAAAGACTTTATCGCTAATTGCTTTCAGTACCATTTTTGGTGAGAGCCAAGCGCGCAAAACTATGGAAGAATTTTCTGCAGCTGCAATATCAAATTTTATTGGATCATTTAATTTTCGGTATGAAAATTTGAAAATAATTCAGGTAAAAAAATTTTCGAAGCTTTTTATTAATGATTCATAGAATTAGTTGAATCCATAAAATCACTGGTGCAGACGATACAGGAACGGAACTTTTTGATTCGATCTCACTTGGCTCGCTCTGCCCCACAAGCAGTTTCATTCTTTGCATCGTGGATATGTCGTATACTTCATTTATTAATTTTGTATCGAGCACATCCAAACGATTTAGTTCTTCAAAGCGGCCAGGAATACATGATTGGATTTATACGAAGCAAAACTTTCCTTTCATAAATATTATTGCGTATCGTTTATTTGGCTAGTGTAGCAGCAGCAGCAAAAGCGGCAGCTCTTGGAGTATTACATTTTTCATTGGCAAAGATGATCGATGGCAATATATTTTCTGTAACTTTCTACGAGCGCGCGCGGATAAGAAGAAAAAAAAGCGCAGCTACACGGTTCATGGGGCTGAAAAAATGATTAATCGATATCCTATATAAATTTCGTTAGTCGTAAAATTTGTCACTGCTATTGATATCTCGCTAGCGTGTAATAATGCGCTCAGCTATTGATTCTCGGTGCGGGGAGGAGAGTAAAGGAGCGAAAAAAAAACTCGAGTTATATAGCGAATCAACGGAGAAAAAAAAGGAGAGAGAGAGAGAGAGAGAGAGAGGAGGAAGGCGAGAGCGCGATCGCGGGAATCTGGGCCAACGCGCGGCGCACGGCGAATCGTGCTAAGGTCGAAGCACTACTTTTACCACCACTACCGCTAGGCACTGCATATGACGAATGCTAATATGCACGCGCGAGCTCGGGCAAAAGTAGAACATGAGCTTTTGCTCGAGAGCCAAACGTTTGGCCAACTCGAGCTCAACCTCTCTCTCTCTGTGTCTCGTAATTGAGCTTTTTTTTTGGTCGGTCTTATCGCGTACATATACGCAAACGGTATCACAGACGCGATGATAAAAATGGTAGAAAGAAGCTGAATCGTTTCTTTGAACGGCAAAGGCTAGACTACTTTTGCCCGTGTTAAGTTGGCTGATCTTGCCGAGCGAGCCGGGACAACTGTGTAGCAGGCACAACACATCGAGCTTGAATGATTCAGCAATGAGCTTTGGCGTTGCCTGCCTACCTACCTAGCTACCTACCTAGCTGGAGCGAAAAAGTTAGCCAAGCGCGGCTCGAGCATTAGCCTAACTCGTTCTCTGTTTGCGCCGCGAACGGCACCGACCGAGTATTAATCCCTCGGCGAGCTCGCTTCCTTCCTTATATAATGCATATGCACTCGCACACACACACATACGCTTGCATGCGGCAAGCACATACATAGATATCATACATATGGATCGCCTTGCCGACGAGGCTGTTTTTGCAGGTTGCTATAGGAGCTCTCCTGGCGCGCCGTTTACCTCCCCCCGCGCGGGTAAAAGGTTGCTGACATTCCGCGAGGCGCAAATTTCTGCTATTCGCGCGAGCAGCTTTACGAAAAGCTTCTCCAACCGATGTAGTTGTTTGATTGGATCAATTTGTGCTCTATGCGCGACATAAAGCTCGATTCGACCCAACAGTTCTGTGCCGTGTGTGGTTTTATGAAGTTTGTTGTTGTTGTTGCTGTTGTTGTTGTTGCTGCTGCTGCCTGACAGTGGTACGACACGTTCTCCGTCGAAGCGTCCGCGAGCGAGCTTTTTTACACCTCGCGAACGAGATCCAAATCCGATGAGAGTTGTGGTGTTAAATGAGCGGCGGCGCATGCGCTACTCGCGCTGCTGTCGTCCTCGACTGCGGATGTTACTCTTCTGCGTGCGTGACACTGTTTCACCCGAAATGGCTTTAAATCCAGAGGATTCTGAATCAAGAGCGATTATTCGAGTTCACCGCCACGAGTAGCCGTTCTATACTGTGCCTTAACGTTATCGTTTTCACTCTGGACTTTTCATCGAGCGAGTTGAAGTTTTGACACTGATCACGTGGTAGGATATCACTGGGAGTTTGAACTACCTGGCCTATGGCTGGACACGATTGCGGTCGAGCTTTATCTTAGTTCGGGTGTTTTGCGTCAAAGTGATGTTCTCAATTAAATCAGTGCTAACGTATGTTCAATGATAACTTCAATCAGATAATCTTTTGGTTTATGCAAAAGTAAGATTTGGTTCAAGATTACAGTAGAAAAAAAATTACGTCATTTTCAATTATGTCAAAGCAGACCGAGTTGCGGTAAAAAAAAATAAGTAGAAGTAAGTTAATTAAATTCTATAAAATAATTTGCGGTCAAAATGTTCACTCGTTGTGTCGATTCAAATCGACCGACGATATACACAAAGCAATACGTTTTCAAAACGTTGCTAGACAAAAAATATACAAAATACGTCCCTACAGTAAAGCTCGAGCTTGCAAATGCAAATGTCGACGATTATAGAATAATATTATTTTTTAATTCGTCTCGGAGCGCACGATACAAGCTTGGGTGAAATTAATTTTGCGCAGGTAGCAGCAGTAGCAGCAGCCAGAGCAACCCGGTCGATTAATGCAATGAAAACAAGACGCCAATGGGCGAAGAACGAACGGCTAATTTGGCGGGCTGAAAAGAGGCACGAGACATAATTGCGTATAGTTTCGACGCAGTCCCGCAGCTCATGGTGTTGTTGGACGGCTCGCGCTAGGCGATGTCTGAATGGGTAGCGGACTGTGCTCGTGCCGAGGTCGGGACAGCCAATACAACGCTGGCTCGATCCTCGATCGCGTCATCAGCCAGGCCAGCGACGAGGACCAGTGCCTCCTGTACAAGCTGGCCAACTACAAGAAGGGCGGCGAACTGATCGAGGCCTACAACCATGGCGGCCAGCAGGAGGTCGAGCGACTCATGCGCGAGCAGTTCGGCGTGCTCATGTACGCCGGCGGCAAGGGTCAGACCATCAATCGGTCCGAGTACCTGCGCTGGAAGTACCGGGACCAGGAGTGGGTCGTGCTGCCGATCGAGGCCTCCCTCAGTCGCTTCGATCCGCTGAGCCAGTGGCGCGACCACGAGGCCTGCTGGCAGATGAAGTATCGCGGCTCGCTGGGCGAGAGTCTGCTGCACGTGCTCATCATCTGCGACACTCGGGCTCACACGCGAATCGCCCGCACCCTCCTCAAGTGCTTCCCGCGGCTGGCGATCGACGTCGTGGAGGGCGAGGAGTACCTCGGGGCCTCGGCCCTCCATCTGGCCATCGCCTACGCCAACAACGAGCTCGTGCAGGACCTCGTGGACGCCGGGGCCATCGTGTCCCAGCGGGCCATCGGCAGCTTCTTCCTGCCGCGCGACCAGCAGCGCTCCAGACCCGCCAAGACCACCGAGTACGAGGGCCTGGCCTATCTGGGCGAGTATCCTCTGGCCTGGGCCGCCTGCTGCGCCAACGAGAGCGTCTACAATCTGCTGCTGGACTCGGGCGCCCACCCCGACGAGCAGGACACCTTTGGCAACATGATCCTGCACATGGTGGTCGTTTGCGACAAGCTCGTGAGTATATATATATCCACGTACTCTCAATGCGGAATCGATAGAGCAATATGGGGCTTGGCTGTCTGCAGACTGCAATCTCGTGCACTCGAGAGTTGGTAGTATATACGCATAGCGATACGTTGTTACTTTTCTCTCTCTCGAGCAGCAGCAGCAGCGGCATATTCTCTGCTGTGCGCGCGCGAATGACGTTTCTCGGTGCTGTAGGCGCCTCGTATAGCAAGCAGCAACCTTATTTGCAGCTCGCGCTCGGCGTAGCTACACGCGTATACATATAGCTAAGTAAATGGGCCGACACGAGTGCAAAGTTTCGTGTTCGTGAACTTTCGATATGTGCTTCAACTGCTTCTACTCTCTGCTAGCTGCTGCTGCTGCTGCTGCTATTTTCTCGTATAGCTTCTCGCTCACTCAACTTCTCTCTCTCTTCTCGCGAGAGCTTGCGATCTAGATGCTGCTGCTGCTGCACACACACTCACTCGTGTATCGTTTTCGCATTTTCCCCGCATTTTTGCGCGCGTTACATTGCATTGCATTGCGTACATATATAACGGTGGCGCAAGAGTACAAAAAAAATCAAGCGCAGCTGGTAAACGCCAGAGCTAGCTCGAATTTTTATTTCGCACCTCTCTCTTTCTCTCTCTCTCTTTTCAATCGTCATCAACGCGCAACGAGTTTGATTTCGAGACTCGTAGTCGCGCGGCTCGCTCGACGCGGTTCGAGAAGCTGAATGACAGCTCGGGCGGCCGCGATTATTGTGTGCTCGCGGATCGCTATTATACTCGCTCTCGCGCGCTACGCTGCAGTGGTAGTAGCGATCTCCTCTCCATTGTGCTCGGCGAGATTGGACGGGTATTGCCGCTGCTCGGTGCGCGATGCATCATTTTATATCAATCGGTTAAACACCTTTTACTACCCGCGCTATATACATAGCCGCCGAATGAAATCCTAGCTGCCACGTCGTTCGCGGGTTTAATGACATTTTTATGTACGTATAAAGAAAATCCAAACGATCGCGTGCAACGGATTTTGCATTAATCCCGCAACGCAGCTCTATATTGACAGAGTCAAGTATGAACTTGTCTCTGTAGTATATACAACGCAGTGACGAGCGCGTGGAAAAATTTCTTCTCTCCCGCGCGCGATTCGAGTAGCAGTAGCAATAGCAGTTGTGCGTATACTACCGCGCGGAGTGTATAAGCGAAGGGAAATGAAATGTGAAAACGCTACTCTCTCTCTCTCTCTCTCGTCTGCGCGCGCGACCGCAAGGAAAATTGAACTTTTACCCAAACTGCTGAATTCGTACTTTTACCAGCTCGTGTCTGTATAAGCGAGCTTTTTTAATTCCTTCCCGCGCGTGTGCATGTATGTATACTTCGGAATAGTACTGCTCGTACGCGAGCTCCGAGTGAGTTGCCGAATACGCCCGCGTCGGATGCAGATTGGAGAAAAATTAACTTTGCTGCTCGGACAAATATTTGAGATTCAGCGGATATAACTGCTCGATATACTCCGAGTTGTTCGAATTCATTTGACAAAATTAGTGCGAGCCGATTTTTCACTGCTGTCGTTAAAAACTGATTTCTCGACAAGATCGTTCGATCATAATTTATGGAAAAAATCTCAAATTTACTCACAGATGCTCGAGCGTTCCCTTGTAGTGTTCAGCTCGAGTCGATGATTCACTTTTAGCGAGCGCAAAATACGAATAACCCACATACTGCCTCGGGAACATCACATACGACTCGCGTATACGATGTGTTTGCACAGTCAAATTTGGTACACACACCCATGCATTTGCGTAAAAATACATCGTTTCGCACTCGAATGGATATCGTGGGTCACAGCATATATAGTCGGTATAGTCGAAGACTACCTAGGGGGAGAAAAATGACGAAAGTATCCTCGGGCGCAACCATTAGTCGTTCGTTCGAGCGATTTTTCATTCGGGATAGATATATACTTGAAAAGCACAGCCGAGCTTGCGGATGACTTGCGCGAGCTCGCGTGTGCGTGCAGCTGTGCAGCTCGCGAGATCGTAGCAGCAGCAGCAGCAGCAGCCGTAGTTCATAGTAGTTGTAGTAGTAGTAGCAGTGGTTGAAGTTGATGGCAGTTGCACACAGGTCGGGCGGAGATGCAACGCGACACGTAAACTGCCTGAAAAGTTGGCGTGAAATTTTAATAGCGTCGGGCGTCGTCGACGACCGCAAGCCGTCAAGTTTTGTTCTTCGAGGTGATCGCAGTAGCAGCAGCAGCAGCAGCAGCAGCAGCTCCTCGATCCTATCACGAGTTCGTCGCAATATTATCGACTTATAAAGCACGATGGCTGCTGTTGGTGCTCGACGCCAATCGATCGCTGACGACGACGCTTCTGCTTTGTCGTATCCTCAGCCACAGCACCAGCCACTACGTTCAAACGTCATTATCGACAACATATATACGTATAGGGGCTGTAGCCGAATTAATCGAGAAAGCTCCCGAATAAGCTGCACAGCTGCCAATTAGTGCTTCATGAATAGAAGTCATAATTGGAGATCATATACACTTGTGTTGGTGTGTTCACAGGACATGTTCGGGTACGCGCTGCGCCACCCGAAGCTGCCGGCCCGCAACGGCATCGCCAACGCGGCGGGCCTCACCCCCCTCACGCTGGCCTGCCAGCTGGGCCGCGCCGAGGTCTTCCGCGAGATGTTGGAGCTTTCCGCGAGGGAGTTCTGGCGCTACAGCAACATCACCTGCTCGGCCTATCCGCTCAACGCCCTGGACACTCTGCTGCCCGACGGACGCACAAGTAAAGTATCGAGGCTCGTTTTAACGCTCTTTGTGCTTGTATTATGTACGGTGTGCGATACTTTCACGCTTCGTTGCACAGTTCGTGCGGCCAAAAGCTCGAGTTTTTTCTTTCTGCCTTTTTTTTGTTTTTACTTTATCATCGTCCCTCTTGGCCGCGACGAGCCAGCAGCTCTCAACGTAGCTCGTGCGCAACGACCGCTGCTGCTGCACGTCGAACTGCGCTAGCCTCCTCCCCCCGAAAGTTTAGTTCAAGTGACCGCAAGCAAGTTTGCCGCGAGAGCCAGAAGAGAGTTTGCTCGAGGGGTTAAGTTGTCGAGACGTTGCGCCGGGCGTATACTGCAGGCGACCGTACGCGCGCCAATTGTGTGACTCGTGTGCGAAGGATCGTGAAGCTATCTCTCTCGGCCAGCAGCAGCAGCAGCCCTTTACCCTCCTTCCCTCCTCATCCTCCTCTACCCTCAACTCTGTTTGTAGCTTTCGGAAATGTTTTCGAGCTTACTCTCGAATTTTACTCGGGGCTTCGTAGAGAGAGAGAGAGAGAGAAAGGAGTAAAAAGCGGCACAAAACTTGTGCGAAATCGCGATCTACCAGCTCCTCTCCCATCGTTATTGTTATTATCATTGTCATTACGAAGCGGCTAAGACGCTCGGATAAGCATCTCGACGACGACGACGACGAGATCGCATCTCTCGAGCTCGATAAACTTTGAATATATACGCGTCGAGATGAGATGAGATGAGAGCGCCGCGCCGAGGCTATCGCATCTCTGCGCGCGCCATACTCGCTCGGTCACGAGCTGGTTATTCATTCGATTATTTGACTCTTTCTTTTTTTTATTATTCTTCGCTTTATTAGGAAAAAAATATAATGGACTTGTCTAGCTCTCTCTCAGTCGGCCCCAACCAATCACTGGCGTCGATGAATTCATATAGAACTTTTTTCACCGAATTAATGGTGAATTAGGCCGCAATATAATTAGATGAAGATTGGGCGATTTAAATTATAATTTCGCTCGAGCTATTTCTCTATATTAAAATCAGTGCGGTGGAGCTCTCTTCGTGGAAAACGAGGTTTTTTTGATGGATTCGCATATGTAGCAAGCATATATATCACAGAGTTACTAGTTTCTCTCTCTCGCGTATAAGTAGCGTACCGAATGCGGCTAGCTCGTTATCTTGCTCGTAATTGTCACGTGTGCGAAGGCCTTGCAAATGTTTCAATTACTGGCAAATGTGCTCGATATTATTAATTCGTACATTTACATATTCGCGTGTTGGATATAAAAGTTGTAAAAATAAAGTAAAAAAGTAATACGAGACGTTATGTATGCTTATGTGCTGCTGGGTATATTTATGCAGACGCGAGCGTAGCGGAAACTGCTGTCGAGGCAGAAGCTGCTTCTCCCCCTCGTCATGGCTTAGAAGCGCGACTATTATAGATAATTACGGGCATTTAAGCAAGTTTTGAAATTATTAGCCGGCCGGGCTCGTTATAGTCCAGTTCGTCCTGACGAAGAGAGCGAGAGAGAGAGAAAACGAGTAGCAGCAGCAGGGCTGGAGGCTGGGGGTTGCGGAAGTCCATTATTGTATTATAAGCTGCGTGTCACACAATTCCGCAGCAGCAGCGGCACACTGCGTTGCGTGTACAGATTGACTAAGATGGATCGCGATTGTGGACGTCCACCACGGTGGCAAAAGCCGGTAAAAGTATTTTAATACATCTCTATATAGCCGCGGCGCGAGATCAATTATATGACGTTGTGCAGCGCGTAACGTACACACTGCCCCCGCAAAGATAAATGTTCGCCACAGCTCGCTCGCTCTGCGATCTGCTGATGATGCGACGCGACTCACTCACTGCGCGCAGCCGATAATGAAACAACTTCGGGCTTGCGTAGGCGGCGGCCTCAAACTTTGCTCTTCGCGTGCCCAGCGCCGCGTGCATTAACGTCGATGCAGCACGAACGATCCGCAGAGTAGTACGTTAATTATCGTTATTACGATGTATATATGTGTACGCACATCGCAGACGCGTCAATTTTCTTCATAATTATGTGTATCACCCGCATCGCTGATGATGGATTTTATTTTTAGCTATGCGGATTTTCAATTTAATATACTTGAGAAATATTTGACCTCGAGCTAAATTAAAGTATATATAAGTGGGAAAATCGTCGATCCATCGCGAATTAAGTATGGACAGAATGAGCGACGTGTTCCCGATCGACAAGTATTTCTTCGATTATAAACACTAATGCGAAAACGTAGTTTCAATATTCATCGTTCGTTTACTTTTTCAGTATCTTATATTTAACAAAACACATAATGCAAAATGCACCTTGCTGAAAACCTTATTGAAAGCCTCTCTGTAATCTTTATACCGAGGCTTTTTCTTTCCTCTTTTGATTTTCGAGAATTTGGCCATACGCCATCTGTCGGAAATCTATAAACTACTGCCTACTTGAAAAAAAATTGCATAAGAGCTAACGAAGAGATTTGCAGAATATTGATTTTAGTACCGTTTTTTTGCAGTTCGAGAATCGGTATTTTATTTTTCGCAAAAAAATCATTGTTTTTAAGAGTCACTTTCGAAATTTGAAATTAAATATATTGTAAAATAGCTATTAAAGTATGTCTACTCGAATATTTCTGCGTAAACGTCGATTAAAAGTACTTGAAATCTACGAATATAATTTTTACCGAGTATGGATATGAAATTTATCGATTTATGATGATGCGTAAATTTTTTAGTGCATGTAATCGGAAAAAATATCGATAAAACAAAGGAAACGAAAAAAAAATAGATTGTACAAAAAATGAAAAGCCCTTGGATGTACGAAAAAGGGTCAAAAAGTGAGAGAGAGGAAAAATTTTTTACATGATTTTGCTGAAGCGAGCTCAGGAAGCAAACAATACATCGAGATTTTAATTAAAGGCGATTGTTTGAGTAAAAGCTCGACTGTATAAAGCACACACACACACACATCCGTGCATATTTCTAAGAGTAAGTTTGAATGGAAACGAAGTCGGACGCGCGCAAACTTGCGCATCGATCGATCGGGGTTGGTTTTCTATTAAAGTAGTAGATAGATAGCAATCCCAGGTATATTATCGACACTCGTCACCAATGTCGTCGTCGTCGTCGTCGTCGTCATAGGCAGTCACCATATGCACACATTTAATAACTTGGCTGAAAAAATGCCAGTCGTCGAAATTGACGAATTTTCTCTGTGTCTCTCTTTGAATTTTTGTGTGCAGAAGCGTACATATAACAACGGGGGTAACACGCCGCAGCAATTACGCAAACGTCTCTGCCGCTGTGGGCTTCTCCAACACGGCCATATTCGGGATATGTTCCCGCGAAAAAAAAAAAAAGATCTTTTTAAGATCTTTTTAAGAACGTCTCAATTATGAGCCTCAGTGAGATGCTTTGAGATGTTTTTAAGACGCTCAACAATTGATTTTTACTGAGACGTTTCCGAGATCTTATTAAGATGTTTTTTTCCTCACCGAAAAAGATAATTTCCAGTTTTTTTGTCAAGTTTAAGTCTTTTTCGACGTGAAAAAAACATCTTTATAAGATCTCGGAAACGCCTCAGTAAAAATCAATTGTTGAGCGTCTTAAAAACATCTCAAAGCATCTCACTGAGGCTCATAATTGAGACGTTCTTAATAAGATCTTAAAAAGATCTTTTTTTTTTTTCGCGGGTTCACGATTATTTGCCACGGCTCGAATGCACGTAGTATGTGTGTGTGAGTGTGTGTGTATGTATGTGCAAAGCTGTGTCGAGCCGTTTGTCGGCTGGCCGCAGTTATTTTTATATTCGTTTCCACGAGGCTCGGGCGCGCGTTGAAGAAGCGTACATGGTTCAAAAAGCGTTGCCTATTTACTTGCATTTCGTTAATATATAATTATTTTGACTTTTTCACTCGCAAATTTACAGATAAAGATACTCGCCATCTGACGGTGGTGGTGGGTTTTCATGTTGTATAAAAGTTTCTTGATAAAAATTGATTATCGATTGATTCAATTTTAACGGCTGTCTTACATTGAACCTGCATTATATTCAAGTTGTTTTTTAAACAGTGAGTATACAAGTACACAAGCTCGGCTACGAAAATAATTTCAAGCGCGATAATCCACGGTAGACGCGCGCGATCGATGCGTGCATGCGTATCATTATTGTGCCGTTCGCGTCGTTATATAGTTAATTAACTTTACGTAGAGGATATAGATCCGTATATATTCTCTGCCTAAGATTCCATCTGGGGAGCTTGAAAGTTTTCTCGCTCGGCTCATCTTGGATCGCTGGGATGTATAGATCCAGCTCGTACATCGAACTTTACCATTATATATATCGCGCGGAATCAAAGACGGATCAGTCACAAGTCACACAAACTGCTGCTGCTGCTGCTGCTGAGCTCGGCGTCGCCGCCGTCGCTGCGGACCGCTGACAAATCACGAATCGTTGGATAATGTTCGGAGCTTGCGGCTCAGGCTGTATAATGAGATTAGCCCCCAGAGCTCGAGCGCAAGTCAGATAAATTAGCCCCGCGCGACGCCGCCGAGAGAGAGATCGCGAGCATTGCACGCGCGGCGGCCGACCACCACCACCACTACGACTACTACTATAGAGACGAGTGTGCAGTACTATTCGAAAAATCCATCCTATGTGAAACTCACCTGCAGCGCGCCGCGCGATAATCGCCAGCTGCAAGCTTGATGAACTTTATCGCGCAAACAGCTCTTCAATCAAAATTTCAATAGTTAGAAGGGCTGCGAATTAACGATGCGGGTTAGCAGCGCAGACGTATTTTGTGTAACGTTATATGTGTATACGGCAAAAGCGCCCAAGATAACGACCAACGCCACCCGCATACATCCCTCTATATACCGGCTTCGTTCGCCTTTCAGTCAGTCAGTCAGTCCCCGGTGCCGTGGAGCCTATGGCAGAGCTTATATCGCGCGCGCTGGTCTCTCTCTCTTTCGCCTCGTCACCGCCCCATCTCACTCAACCCACCCCCCATTTTGCGAGCAAACGCATATATACAGTCGAGAGACTGTGCCATTATTTCTCGACACAATGCACGCATATATAAATAGTGAGTATACATCATGCAGGCCGGGGGTATACGTCTGTGTGGCAGCAGTAGCTAGACATTACAACTTCATTAACTCTTGGCAAATAACCAATTTTCATAGCAGCAGAACCCGATTCTTTGTTTCGGCGTAATGTTAACGTTTAATTTCGCCGGGAATAAAAACAGCCGAGTTCGTGCATTTTGATAGCCGGAGCATTGGAAAAAAAACCTCATTATATCGCCAGGCTGCACGTTGAGATATATATTCGTGCTTAATGAATGAATCGAGATGGGATCGATGGAAAAATTATGGGTATTTCGTTTTAGACTGCGTGATGAAATTTAGGAAAAAATGTTGGTTCGAAATTCCTTGCTGCTCTCTTTGCGAGCCCGATCGTAATTATTGTTTCACTGCCTCGAATACTTAATTAGCTTGTTTACACGAAGTGTTTATGTATTCGATAAAAAACTCGATCGATTTCTGAGTTTTATCTCATTAACTGCTTCATTTTATTTCATGCTCATTTCTTCCATTTTTTTTTCAATATTTATCCATGCTTCAACGAAATAATTATAACCGTTTGTGTGGAAAATTTTAACGGATGCAGTAATGATAAAACCAAAAAAAGAAGAGAGAAAGAAAGAAAGAGAGAAAAATAGTTCATCCGACAAATGGATCTTTCTTATTTTCCTCTCTCTCTTTCTCTTGTGTATAGTCTCGATCGAATTTTCCCTTTTTCCACCGTCGCTGCTGCTGCTGCTCCCTTTCACTCCCTTTCTCTATTTCCAGCTTTATCTCTCTCGCTCTCTCTGTCTCGTCCGTACTACCTACTACCTTTTCTCTCTCTTGGTTGCTTTTCCCCCATGCTCTTTCTTGTTAAATTTTGCAGATTGGAACTCGGCCCTCTTCATCATTCTCAACGGCACAAAAGAAGAACATTTGGACATGCTGGATGGCGGAATTATACAGAGGCTACTCGAGGAAAAGTGGAAGACTTTTGCCAGAGTAGGTATTATCTGTCTGCCAATATTGAGAGGTGTTCGCGGCACTATAAGCACGTAGATATATATACGTACAACGCGATATATATTGGCACTGCTGTTTTTGCAAATTTTTGCATTCACGTGGAGGTACACAATTAAGAACATGAATTGGGACCGATTTTAAACTGTTACATAATTTATTGATTAATCTTCTTCGAAATCTCGATTTCTTGACTTATACTGTAATTTTTACTTTGCCACTTGTACATTTATAGTTAAAAGTGTACTCGCCATCTAGTGGTGGTTGCTGACATTAAATATAATTTGATTTTCATGAATTTTTTGTGTGATTTATATATTATACATAAATATTCATTTTAAAAGCAGATTTTATATAAATGTGCTGGAAATAAAATCCAGTATCGGTTACTTTAATTTCCATATCCAATTTTACGTTTTTTTTTATAACAGCTTACTCGTATTAATTGTATCTGAATTTCACGCCCAAAACCAGCTGCAATTTCTGAAGCGTCTGGTCATTCTGGTGTTTCACCTGGCCTCTCTGTCCGTGGCCGTGTACTTCCGTCCGCCCGGCGAGGACGCCGAGTTGACGGCCTGGCCCGAGGAGATCACCGAGGTGATCCGCTGCGCGGCCGAGTGCGTCACCGTGCTCGGCGTCCTGGGTTACATATTCATCCAGCTCGGCGGCGAGGTCGTCAACATCGGATTCTTTTCTTTCCTCAAACAGCTGGTAAACGAGCTAAGCATCGCAATCGCGCCATACTACTGTGTAGCATGCGATGCACGTAGCGCCAGTACGCAGGTGCAGCGCGCGAAACTTTTTCCAGCGGGACGATACACAATTCGTATCGGGATAATGCTATATTTGTTAAAGTTTATCTTGTTTGTCTATTACCGCTGAACCGACGTCCGGGACAAGTAGAGACTTCTGACGCGAGCGCGGGACAAACTTTTTATTCGTGAAATCTGAGAACTCGACGTCGACTTTAAGTAGAAATAATTCAATATAGTCAGACAAATATAAAATACTTAGTTGTGTCACTTTTGTCGTTACATTGTTCCGTTCTGGCTATAAAAGCCGAGCGACAAGTATATATATCTCGATTTATTAATAAATTTGGACACAAAATTATAAATTTTTTTCACTTTTGTATACTAAAAATATTGTTCTCCAGCTTTAGCACGAAAATTGCATTAACCCAATTGCGTCGAATAATAACAATTGCAACAAAACTTCAATCGAGATTGCTACAACGCCGAAATAAAAAGTATCATTACGGAGAAAATCACTATCGCAATTTATGGTATTTCGCATCGCAGACAGGCGCAATAAAAGAGATCGGCGGGGGCATAGCTAGAAAAACAAAGTGCATCGATGTATGCCGTACTATTTGTTTTGTTCTTTTTTTTCGTTCTGTTTGCAGACGCACGAGCCAGCCAAGTTGATATTTCTCATGAGTAATCTCTTGATATTGGCTTGCATACCGTGCAGACTGTCGGGCGACCGTCACACCGAGGATGCCATTCTGGTGGTGGCCGTGCCAGGCTCCTGGTTTCTGCTCATGTTTTTCGCCGGGTACGTATACACATACGCTCGCACATAACAATATCCAACCCTATACATCAAAAGTGCCTACGCACACACACACACACACACACACACACACACACACACACACCCTCACATACATATAAATAAGGCACATTTGCCATTGATTTATGTACTATATACGTAGAGAACGAGCGAGAGAGATGAGAGAAAGCAGTGCAGGGAGATAAACACGCGTTTGAATTTATAGACTCTCTCCCGTATACGCGCTTACACCTACCAGCACGCACGCACTGGAGAGCTCGCAGCGGCACAAACGTTACAAAGCTCGACTGGAGCTGCTGCTGCATCGAGCGAGATCGGAACCTGCGGCATTACGATTGACTCAACAGCAGTTAAATATAGTCCAAGTTGATTTTCGAAATTCACGATAGCAGAGCGAGTATACACATACATCCTGGGTTGCTTGTATACATATACCCACACACACGGAGGATGCTAAATCCTACTCAAATAGTCAAAGAGCCCCGCGGAAAGAGAGAAAGGGAGCCGAGAAAAGGAGAGGTATAGAAGGAGAAAAATTGTGCGGATGAAAGAAAGTGCAATCCGAAAAAGAGCTTTTAGCCATCCGGCGGAAAATTTCGACTGATTTTCTTCCTTAGCACGAGGCAGCAGCGCGTTCACAGCTCAGAAATTTACTCTCTCTCTCTCTCTCTCTCTTTCAGAGAGCTGTAACTTTGCACACGCAAGCACGTACACGCAGCTATATATACAGTCCTTTGGGAGCTTGCAGGCGGCACCCCGGGATTGAGTATGAATCGCTGCAAGCTCCATCCTACACATATATACCATACATAGCTCGAGTCAACGGCAATAATATTTTTTCGAATATTCGCGACTATAAAATTGCTCGCGATTCGTCGCAAATTTGTCGCAAAAAGGGAGAGAGAGCCTACGCACGTGCAACTAGCTATATAGAGATCATTCGCATGTACGCGGAGCTGCCGCCGCGCATAAATGAATCGGGTCAGAATCGTTTAAGCTCGTACTACCGTAGATGTACCGAGTACGCACACACACACACATCAGCCACCTGCACGGCACGCAGAGAGAGAGAGAGAGAGAGAGAGAGAGAGAGCAAGACACGAGAGCTTGCAGCGCAGGGCAGCCGAACAAAGCCTCGCAAACGTTATTGTTTCCATGCCTTGTGATGGCATTGTGTGCAAGTACTGTAGCGCGAGGCGCGCATACTTACGCGCTGGAACGTGATGCGCGTTGAATTTCGTGCACAGTACGCTGTAGCAGTAGCTACACGGCGCAGCATAAATGTAGACGTAGGGTACGATTCAGGCATGCGAGTGTCGCGCGCGCGTGTTTGTATCTAGCTCCTGTATATTCTCTGCTGCTGCTGCTGCTGCTGCTGCAGTTGTATGCGCCCAGTCAAAAGCGTATAACGTCGAGAGGAGATCTTCTCTCCTAGCCTGTCTCTCCCTCTTTTGTGAATCATCAACCTACACCGATTCTCGCGTCAAAGCTTTTAGCAACAATCGCGCGAGCCTTGCAGAGAATCTTAAACGTGCAGCACAGCGGAGGAATTTTATTGCAAGTCTGCTGCGTCCGCTGCTGCTCGAGCTGCTTGATAATATTTTTTAATTATTCGAGAAAGAAACGCTTTATTACTGCTCCGCGCCGCGCTGCGGTGTATCGGGAAAAAAGAACTCGCGTGCGTCCGACAAAATGATGCATGGCTTCTTAATTAAATGACCTCTCTTCCGGCACAAGCGATGCCGAAAAGCTCTTGCACAGCAGCAGCCATTCTCCGCGGCAATCGAAAGACTTGATTTCTGGCTCGCGCGCCCGACGAACACGCTCGACTCGACTCGAAGCTCGACGCTCGCGATTGCGAAATAAACTACGTAAAACGCAAGTCACGATTCAAATTTCTGAAAGCTCTTATTTAATCGAGCCAGCAGCAGCTATGGCTCCGCGTATGTATGTGTACGCGCGTATATACTACGCGAAGCGAAACAATTTGGAGAAAATAAGTCGAGCGAGAGCTAGAGCTTGCAGTAGCGGCAGCGTAGGAGCTTTCATCGTCGCTATACGCGCGTGCACGTACGTACGTATACGAACGTAAACGGAGGTCACGGGTATCGCGCCTCCCCACGCAGCAGCAGCAGCAGCAGCAGCATAGCTCTAGCTTCGTTTAATATTATTGCAACGCAGCCCCAGTTAGGCTAAGGCTGTATACAGTATATGCTCCACGACACGACAAGTCGAACTTCTGAATTTTGTTTTAATATAAAAAACTACGACTACACGCTGGGCTGCTGCTGCTGCTGCTGCCGAGTCGTTGGCTCATGCACACGAGGCCATTATTCTTCGTTACGCTCTCGCGAACAATGACTTTTAATGCTATCGAGTTATTACCTAGATGCCGGAGAATACGCGCGCTCCGCAGCGGCAGTAGCAGCGTTTATATTCGCACACGGACACCCAACGCGAAATGCATAAAATTCAAAGGCACAGCGGCAGACGCAGCGGTGGTGGTGGCAACGGCGGCAACGGCGAATGGAGAGATTGTACGCGCGCTAAGGATTTCGCTCTCGGCCATGACAGGGCGCGCGCAGAGAGCAGCGCAGCGCCGGACGATAAAATTACGACGCCGAAGCCGTGGCCAGGCTCCTCATTTTCTCTCTTCCCTTACTACACTGCTCTAGCTCTAACTCTTTTTCGCGCTCCTACTATACTACTACTGGTGCTTCTGCTGCTGCTGCTGCTGCTGCTGCTGCTGCGGCACGAGGTTGTTAATGTCCGTGGAAATGTAGAAATTTGAATTTTGCTCTCGCTCGTTCGCTGCTGCTGCTGCTCTTCTTGCTCGGGATAAATTATATAAGTACGTTTGCTAGCTGCTGCAGTTAGCCCTTATATGTATGTACGTACACGTGAGTGTGCTTTTGGTACAATGTGCTCGCGGGGAAAACGACGTATCATCATTGCCCCTTTGCCGAGGCACAGCAGTCTCGAGAGCTCGCCGATGTTTTACCTTTTTTTCAACCAACCCATATGTATACATTTATATCGATTTGGCTGATTGCTAGAAATCACCTCATTTTCGCGTGAGCTTTTCGTGTGTGCATGCGCGATGATCGTTTGAAAAAGCTCGCAATTAATTAGCCAGCTTGACTCTAAATTTTTTGTCGAAAATCGATGTTCGAGTTTAAATTTACGGATATGCGTTTGGCCGCAATATTTACGAAAAAAATATTATGATTTCGAGCAAGCTCGATTTAAATTTATCGTGTTTGAAAATCCAAAAAATATTTTCGACTGGCATACGGCGGGGCATCGAGCAGCGGCATTACATCTGTAGGCTATAATGTAGACTCGACTCCCTGTACGTGTGTGTGCTAGGCGAACTGCCGTGGGAGAAAAGTCAGTAAAAAAAATTCACCTCCTCCTATATAGAGTCTACAATGGTCGGATAATATAGAGCAGGCCTGGCGCTTATTTTGCGCTTTATGTGCTCGCGGGCGGTGCAAGTTAGAGTTAATCTTCCGAAAAAAGTGTCTCACACGCTGGGAGCTCCGCCGCAGCAGCAGCAGAGAAAGAGAGCGAGCCCCAACCACCACCACCACCACCACCGACGCAGCAGTAGTCCTCGTCGTAGGTAGTAGTACGGAGTAGCTCGAAACCTATATATAGTCGAGGCCGATAAATCCCGGTGGTTATAGCGCCAACTACTATACTGCGCTGGAGAAAGAGAGCACGAGAAGAGAACGAGTGAGAGAGCAAAAGAGCCGCCGCTTGCCGAGCCGCGCGCCAAGAGCAGGACGTTATCGAGCTTGCGGCTATACGAGAGTGTGCGGCAGTGCGCCTTTTCGTCGGGGGCAAAAGCTTCTTCGATGCACCGTAGCACACAACTAGCTCTATATACCTATGTGTGTGTGTGTGTGTATAAGGGTGTGTGCGAGGGAGAGGAAATAAAGACTTGGTACTTATATTTTGGTTTATATTTCTTATAGCCAGGCAGTGTGCAGTCTATATTGCGCTATGCCAAGTTTCGTATATTATAATAGCTCTCCGCCGCTATCGCAGCAGCCTCGCTAGCTCTCGACGATTATATATAATACGAATAGCTGCGCGAAATTATGATTTTGCGCTCGCGCGTTTATTATTATAACTATACCTACGTATACGTACGTGCAAGCTCGTAGTAAGCTCCGGCAATAGACTCGCAATTATGTATTGTAAGTACAGCCCATACACAGAAAGAGAGCCCCCGGAATTGATTGATATTAATGCGAGAGAGCTTTTCGCTCGTTTTGCTGTATAAGCCAAGCGCGAATTAACTTCTCTCTCTCTTTTTTTTTTTAATAAGTATGTACTTAGCGCGTATATCGTCCGTTTCCACTTGACCGGAAGTCAATTATTCCATTTGCAAATTATACGATATGAGAGTAATCGCATACAGAACGAAAAAAAAGAATAAATAAAAAATTCCAGCGAACGAAACGTGCTCAAAGTTTCATTTCTCAAATCTAGCAAAGAGGCAAGGACTCGACAAGCGATATATAGCTTAAATCAGGCCTCTGACAAAAAAAAGACTTTTTGCAACAGAAAAAAGAAGAAAAAAAAAGAAAGAATAAAAGAAAAAGCTCGATGTCAGACAACACACGCTGCTCATCGTTTCAGGCTAAAGCGGAGAGCCTAAAAGAAAATCAATTTGACCGACGCGGCACACATCGACCGGCCACATATGTACGGCAAAATCTCCGATGATTGATAGAGTCTTGGGCCAAGCGTTGAAAGAGGCCGCATGACTCTATATTTTATCCTGTCGATACGTATACGACAACACGCCCACACACACACGTTGGCTCGATTTTTTCCCCTTAACACATATATATAACAGCGAAAAAAAAAATTATGGCGCGCTCGCTAGTTGCAACGATACTGGCGAAGTTTATATTGCTCGCGCGAGCTCTCTCCATGTGTGTGTGTGTGTGTGTGTCTCTGCGTACGATATAGAGAGTAGTGTGTGCGAGCGAGAGTGTTGGTGATATTCTTTTGCCGAGGAAAAATATATTGTCTCGATATATAAACGGCGCTCTCACGCTCGCACGTGGGAGTCGGCTATTTCAATTTTCTTCAATTTTTCGCCTCGCCAAACCATATTATATCATAGTTGGCTTTCTCTCTCTCTCTCTCTCTCTCTCTCTCTCTCTCTCTCTCTCTATATATGTCTGCAGCCTTATCGCTATTATTTGCAATCTTTTACAAAACACTTGGACGCTTTGCGAAGCTCGTTTATAAAAATCATAGCCGCTTTTTGCCAACGCGATTATGAATGAAATATAATTTGGAAAAGTCGAAGCTGAACTTGTTTTTGTCTATATGTTTATTAAAATTATGAAAATATTTTGTTGCAGGGCAGTGAGGCTAACCGGTCCGTTCGTGACGATGGTCTACAGCATGATAACGGGCGACATGCTGACTTTCGGCATTATCTACGTGGTGGTGCTGCTCGGCTTCTCTCAGTCCTTTTATTTCCTCTACAAGGGCTTCCCGGGCGTCAAGTCGACTCTCTATCATTCCTACCACTCGACTTGGATGGCTCTGTTCTCCATTACTCTCGGAGATTACAGCGTAAGATAAACATTTTCCTTTCTCTTCCTCGCTCTCGACCTTTCTTTTTTACCTCCTCCGCAAACGTACATATATTATATTTGTATAAATACGAGAGCTCTGGCAACGTGGAGAATGTAGAGAGTTTTTTTTAATTCGTTACGCATAATATTCGTTTCATTGCGCAAGCGCGCGACACGCGCCTCGTGAATCATTGGCTATTTTATCGCAGCAGCTGCGCTTGGTACACGCGGCATCTTAAATTAAGTCGTATACACATACACACGTATGCTCGCGCACGTGAATCATTTAGACGCACAATTAGAGTTTTGATAATGCACATTAGATTATTCATTGCTGCTGCTGTTTCTCTCGTTCTACGGCGACGCGGCGTGGCGTACATATAATACGTACGGGTGCAAAACTAAATGAATTTCCTCTCTCGCGCGAGCGCGAGGTAAAACTGCAGCAGTGGTGGCAGCGGCAAAAACAAAATAAACATTTTCGTTGAAAAAACCTGCTGTGCTATACACAATGTGTACTACCTACTACTACTACTACTTATACTACGGCGGGGGTCGCGTCGAGCTATAGGTGCAGCGCAGGCTACCGTGTTGCATGATAAAAGCACGTTTACAACCTTGAAGTTGGCTGCGTTATTTTTTGCTGGCTGGTTTGCTTTTTTTGTTTCATTAACGGTCGTCAGCTCTCTCTTGCTCTCTGCGCAACTGCACACGCTGCTGGCTGCTGCTGCAACTCGCGCTGTGGTGTAATGCCACCACCACCACCGCCACCACTACTGCTTCTTGTTTTTTTTTTTTTTTTTACTCTAACAAAATATGTGACAAGAGTATATGCTGAATGCTCTCTTGTTTGCGCGAGTTTCGCGCATGCTTACGTGCATATTTTATGTTGGAAAAAAACAATGTATTCTTTTGACCCAGTGATTGAGGCTTCTGCCTAGACACGCCGCGTTATTTCGCGCTTTTCAGAATCACGTCGTCCGCCTCGATAAACCAGAAAAATAGCATTATTATTAAGAAAGAAAAACGAGTACTCGTTGAAAATATGTTTGCATGATGAATTTTGTGCACGTTGTAACGGATCAAAGTAATAAATAAACTTACTCGATGTTTTGAGCGAATGACGAGGAAAAGATCTTTAAGAGACCAAACTTTGTTTTTTATTTCCTGGTGGAAATACTCGTCATTTTATGGCTGATTTTTAGACGAAAAAATGCCTGCTTGTCAAAATTCTATTAAAACTAGACATATATGGCTAATATGTAACGTTTCTTAACTATTTATGACCATTTGATACTTCACGGTTTCTTTTTCTTGCTATTCAATGATCATTTTTTGAATATTTAAAGTTCGTGAAAATAACTATTTAACCACACTCGGGTTGTCCTATTTGCGACATTACAATTGAAAACTGTGGACTTATACAATTATTTTGACTTTACCACTTGCAGATTTATAGATAAAGGTACTCGCCATCTAGTGATGTCTTAAGTATCATTATCGTATTTGCAGTGGTTGAAAACTGGTCTAAACTTTTTGAAAATGTAAAATCGTAATTGTAATAGAACATGAAAAAACAATAACCAATCATCCATTATTATTAGTTATTGAACCATTAGTAAATAATATCAATATTAGTAATTAAATTTGAAAATTGTAAATATCAAGATTTAATCGGATGATCAGTTTGACGCAATTTAAAGAAAGTTAATAAATGTACCGCTGTTTTGCTGTGTCAAGCACGCCAATAAGTATATACTTTTTGTAAACTCGAAGATACTAACGGGGGCAAAAAAAAGATTTCCTCCACATCGTCTCGAAAATAATATTATTGGTTCGGGGTCGATTCGCCCAAAAAATCAAGTTCGTGCTACACGTATGACTAAAGAGGTCCGGCTCGCAGGTCGAAGGGAGAGGGAGCGAGTAAAGAAACTGCGTTATCAGGAAACCACCGAGCGAGAAAATGCGGGGTAAACATTTTTATACGTACATATTTCTCTCTACTCTCTCTCTCTCTCTCTCTCTCTCTCTCTTTCGCCCTGCACTCGAGCGAGTATCTCTCGCGCGCTGGGCTGGGCTCTGCGGCCAGCCGCAAAAACAAGCTTCGACGTTAATCCTCTTCTCTCACCCGCACTCAGCTCTCTCTCTCTCTCTCTCTCTTGTGTGCACGCGAGTGCATACACATATACATCGCGAAAAATATATATACACGAGCGAACGCGCGTTACGGCAAATAAAATCGAGCTCGAGCGAGTGAGAGGAAAAAAAGACTGTGCGCGAAATCGAAAATAACTCGATAAAAAAAAAGGAAAAAACTTTAACGCTGACTAGCCGTATCGTTGCCCCCGCACATAGGCACACGCACGCTTCGCTTCTAAACAGACCAATTGGCGCAATTGAATGCGTTAAAAAGTTTCGGTCCGAAAATGACGAGTGCCCGCGCGCGCGCGAACAAACAAGCAAATAAATAAAATAACGTTCGACCAGAGCCGCCGCTGCTTCATATATATACGTCGAGGCAGACGCTTGAGTCAGATTAATTATTGATTCGAAAGCGGCGCGTCGTGTCTCTCTCATGCTCTGTGTGCAGCTTCTACATACATGTGAGCGTTACGGCTCGCTGCACACAGTTATCGGTGCGCGCGCGCGCGAGATACGCTACTCACACATTCGTTCGGCCGGCTTGTTTACGACTTTTTATTTTGTTTTTTTTTCTTTCGTTTCGTTTTGCGCTGCAGCGCAGAGTCGCCATTCCCCGGCGATTCGTCACGCGCGAGTAATAACCAATATTTGGAATATTGACGAACAAAAAGTGTACGTGTGTGTACGCGCGCGGATGCCAAAACATCGCTGCAGCAGCTCGCCCCAATAGCCAATATATAACTTATGTGTGTATTTGTATCGATAACAAAGCTCGCGGCTTCCTCTATGGTCACGACTCGCGATCATTTTTCGTTGGTAAATTTTCTGCGTGACGCGTCTTATACCAGAGAGAGAGAGAGAGAGAGAGAGAGAGAAAGAGGGGGAAACTGTATATGTAGATACTTTTACGAGTGACCCCTGTAGCGATGTTATGCCACTACCGCAGAAAGAGAGTACTTATTATATACGTATAACGATATTTATTATATTTATTATATACGTATAAGGATTTATGTTTTGCTGGAAGAGCTCCGAAATACGAAAATCATCCTAGCGTGAGCTAAACAAACTGACGTCGCGTCGGTTACTCGTCGTGCGCTGTCTCTCTCGGCGGTCACGACCAGTAGCAACAGCAGTAGCAGCGAGCTAAATTAATAAAAAGTAGCGCGTCGCTACTCACACACACATACAGATACACAGATTTGGGTTATCATAGCCGGACTTTCGTTCGATCGGTTTGACCGGCGCCTATCGATATGTATGCTCTGCTTTTCATGTGTACACACACTTATTTATAACTCGATGTGCATCGACACGTGTATCTCTATCTATTTATTGTATCGATTTTATCTCAACACCGCGTTGTATATATGTCACTGAAAATGTTATTTGTAAATAGATACAATGATTGATTCATGCTCGATGCAATGTATGCGTAGACATACATAATTGTTCGTTTGATTGTGGCACAGTACACGGACCTGAGCATGACGACCTATCCGAACCTGAGCAAGACGGTGTTCGCGATTTTCATGGTGCTGGTGCCGATCCTCCTGCTCAACATGCTCATCGCCATGATGGGCAACACGTACGCCCACGTGATCGAGCAGAGCGAGAAAGAATGGATGAAACAGGTGACGTACATATATCTAGTTTATATAGTTGGCAGTAGACCCCTTTATGTGCATCGTGCGTCGTCGTTGCATTCATCGGATATTGCATTGTGCGTCCTGCGACTACCCGCGAGCTTTTTTCCACTCGTTTTTTTTTGCTGGTACTTTCCTTTTGAAATTTGCCAATTCGCGCGCGCTGAGAGATATTAACGAAATGCGCGCACGTGCCAGCCAGTCGGGGCCAAAAGTTCGCTCTCGACTTTTTCGAAGGGCCGAAAACCACCACCGCGCAGGTCGACGACGACCGAGTGGACGGATTTTTCAATTGTGTCCGACGATTGCTCCGAATTCGCTCGTGCATACCCAATGTCTGTCTTTGCATCGGGATCAGCTTAAAAAAAAATCGATCGAATTGACTATTTTTCAAAGTCGCGTGAACTGCAATTCATACATACCAATAAATAACTTTAACTCACCCGTAACAAGCTTTCAAGGTAAAAAATTATCTCTCTCTCTCTGTGGGGGTGTACAGTGGGCGAAAATCGTCGTGTCGCTGGAGCGAGCCGTCTCCCAGAAGGACGCGCACAACTACCTGCAGGAGTACAGCATCAAGCTCGGGCCGGGCGACGACCCCAACGATCCGGCCTCGGAGATGCGCGGCGTCATGGTCATCAAGAGCAAATCCAAGACCCGAGCGCGACAGCGCAAAGGAGCCGTCTCCAACTGGAAGGTGAGTCCGCCGCGTCCTCGTCCCACTTTTCCTTTCCTTTTTCTTGCCAGGCACTTTATTTACAGAAAAATTGCTTTGTAAACTTGTGTGTGCATGAAGTGTGTGCTTGCGGGTCTTTTCTCCTTGCATTCCTTTATGATCGCGCTCCCACACACACACACACACACCCACAAGGCCGCTTGATTTTTTAATTAAAAAACTATTTAATGCGCTCCCCACTCGAATTAAGAATGAACTCTCTCTCTCTCTTACGGGCAAAATTTTAACGATTTAGCTCGCGCTTAAATATTAATATTATATACATACGCGTACAGCTGCGCGCGGCGAGCAGCTTTTGTTTCCAATCGAGACTTTTTTCTTCGAAATTCAAAAAGAGTCGTTGTAGCTCCCACGCGCGCAGCTGTTAATTATTTTTTCTCCATTTTCGTCGGTGCGCGCGTTGGAAAATTTTTAATTGAAAAATTTCCAACCGCCCCCCCCCCGGTACAGCTCTGAAGCTCGGCTGGATCAGCTGGACGAGCCGAATCCGTTAACGCGCGTACAGCAGGGCACGCGAAAACGCAGCTATATAATAGCGAACGCGATATTCCAATCAGAGTTGATGACGCGAAAAAAATATAATTCTGCCAACAGCGGGGGCAAGAGGAAGAGGAGAAGGAGGAGAAAATTGGCTCTCTAAACGCGTAAAATTCAATAAATCACGCTGCGCCGTGTATAGGTGAAATGGTATATGTGTATAGTAGCACATATACAGCGAGCACAATGAGCAGAAACTTATTCATTGGCCGTTGCTGCCGCGCTATATAATATCGCGTATATATACGTACACACACATCAGCTATTCATCCATGGGATTAATCTGTTCAACGCGAGCCGCCCCGGGATACGCGCACTGTGTGTATCGGTATATATGCGTACAGTATATAGCAGCGGTAATATACACAAACATACATATAGGACAGAAACGATTTCCTTCCTGCGGCTCGCTCTCTGTGTATGTGTGATATATAACGTCGGTCTGCTTGCGCGACCCATATACAGAGAATTACATCTGATCAGAAGTCCCACAACTCATTCATGCTCTCTCTCTCTCTCTCTCTCTCTCTCTCTCTCTCTCTCTTTCTTTCCCTCGTGTCTCTCTCCTATCCCGGCCTGGTGTTTTGTATATGTGTGTCTGTGTCCATGTGGGTGTAAGCGCATAACTGGCCACACACGGTATATATACATACATATCGCGTACGCCCCTTGGCCAGAGCAGCTTTCGATCCCACGAGGACTGTATTATACTACAGCCAAGCAGCACGGCGAAAGAGAGCTCATGAATATTAATAATTATATTATATATGAAACGTGTGGGTGTGTGTGTGAGAGCCCGACGCTAAAAATTGTCTGATTTGCATAGAGAGTCGGCAAGGTAACGATCTCGGAGCTGAAAAAGCGCGGCATGACGGGCGAGGAGCTGCGCCGTATCATGTGGGGCCGCGCGTCCATCTCCACCCCGGTCAGGGGCAGGTAAGCTCGCTCTCTCTCTCTCTGCAAACACATTACACACAGCTACAGCTCGTATATGTGAAGCTTTTTCCCCATCTCTCTCTCTCTCTCTCTCTCTCGCACTGCGCTGCGCTGCACTGCTCCTTATCCGGATTCGCAATTTGAATTTCGCGCGCCAGTTCTCCGAGAAATAATATGAGCTAGCTGCTGCTGCTGCTGCAAGAGACAAAAGTGAGCGAGAAAGAAAAAGAAAGTTAATTATGTGATGCTAGTGCTGGCGAGCGTGCTACGTACTCGCTCAAGTGGGGCTGGGGGGCGGGGGCGAAATTCATTTAAATGCGCGGAGCAACTTTGATATTGAATTTTTTTTACCCGCGCGCGCCAACTACCGCTATGCTCTACGCTGCAATGGTACAGCGGGGCCGCGCAAGCTCTGCAAAAAGAGCTTTTTTAATTTATGGAAGTTAGTGGACGCGCAACTTGGACAAAGCAGCAGCAGCGACGGTGGCGGCTCGCGAGGTAAACGTTTCTTCTCTCCGGCTTAACTCGCGAAAAATTGCGCGATACGGCTGAATTATCGCGATCTAGCAGCTCGTCGTTATTATATTCTCGATATCGAGTGGAGCCGGCTTTAATTGCCCCACTTGGAGCTGTTCGATTAAAAAAAAAATTGCTCGCCTAAACTATTTTGCACGCCTCGGCGCGCCTACTGCACCACCGCAGCAGCAGCAGCAGCAGCAGCAGATCTGCGATTCTCATTTTTTTACACTTTTTTTTCTTCTTTCCTTCCGCCTCGAGTCCTCTGCTGGGATTGCAAAGCGCCGCGGCGCCGGGAGCTTTCGGCGATGCCTTGGCCTCGGCGCTCGACACCATCGACACGGGCCCGCCCATATCCGAGCCTTTGGCCGATGGACAACACCACCCGATCGATCCGACGAATACTTCCGAGACGTCTGGCATTCAACAGCAGCAACAGCAGCAGCAGCAGCAGCAGCAGCAAGATAAATCAATCGTATCCAAAACTGCCCTCGATCAAAAGAAATCGACGACTTCGGCGGCGTCTGGTAAGCCAGCAGCAGCAGCCAAGGTCCAACAACCAGGAAAACTTGCCAAAGCACCCGTGGCAGCAGTGACTCGTGAGTAACTGCTTTATACTTTTGACTTTTAAAAATGAATCATTCGCGAGCGTGTTGGAAAATTATTTGGCAGGACATTTTCATGCGATAGCAGACTGCGTACGAATCATAAGTACTTCGTGTAATATATAAGTACTTTTTACCTCATTAAAATAATCTTCGCTACTGTCTCTATACTTGTTATATGCCAACTGTCTGTGGAATGAAAAATTTATACCTAATAATGGCTGGGAGCACTGCCTCGCCAATTGAAAACGTTAATTATAAACATAATAAATAGAAAACTACTTCCGGGGGGGGGGGCAAAACTTCCATCCTCCCGCTCCTCGCTCTTTCTTCTTTCGGGGCATAGAGCCGCGCGCGTCTCAGCTTTTCCCTCCTCTTTATACCGTTGCTCTCTGTTTCTCCTTCTTCGCAGCTCTGCCTTCCTCTCTCTCTCAGCTTTGGAACTTTTCCAAATCGCAAAGTTTCACGTAGACTCTCTTTTTCTCATAAAAAATGGCCCGAATTACCCCGAAAAGTTTGGCGCCAACGTGGCACACGGCATTCCCTATTACGCTCCGCCACGACTTTTTTCCCGTTTCACGCGCAGCCCGCCGCCGCCGCTGCCTCTTTCTCTCTTTATATACACTTTTTATTTTGCTTGAGCCACCCTCGCGCAGGAGGGAGGAGGTTTTCAAGACTTCTCGGGGGGAGCCGACTACTACTATTACTACTACCACCACCACCACCGCCACTGACACTCCCGCAAGCTCGTGGTAATCCTCTCATTTTCGTTTCGTCCTAATTCATGAAAGATTCCTGCCCCCGCCCGCTAAGAGAAAAAAAAAAGCAGCGGAGAAGTAGCGGACAGCCAGTGACTTTGCCTACTTTTACACTGCATCCGACGTCTCTCTCTCTCTCTCTCTCTCTCTCTCTCTTTCTTGTCTTTCATTTTGAGCGCGGCCGTTCGCGAACGAGCTGCTACCGCTGCCGCCGAGAAAAGTGCTGATAATTAAACACGAGCCGTGTGCCTCGGATAAAAGATGTATTAAGACTCTTGACTCGGTGGCTCCGCTATATATACTCCGCGAGAGGCTGTGTGTTGCGCCTGCCGCATTGATTCTCTCTATGACTTGCTTACCTAATTAACGCGCACGCGGTATCATGTTTTTTTTATTTATACAGCGCGTATTTCGTTTCCTTTTCAAAGCGAATTATTCACTTTTGGATTACGACCGTCGAGTCAAGACTTTCTTTCACTCGACTTCTTTTTTCGGAGGGAAAAAGTTCGGAATTTCTTTCATGCTCGCCTCGGGATATATAAGACGTTCTTGATTTTTAGCGACATCCGTGCAATTGCGAGTGAAAAATCTTTCAATCAAAGCTTTTGTCGAAAAGTTGGCCGTAATGATTATTTTGTTTGTCAAATTTTCAAGTGCCCACTACCACTACCACTGCCACGACTACCACGATAACAGTGACCAAGCCAGCTGCACCGGTGAGCCGACTCAAATCGCCGGAAGACGATCCTCTCTTCGATTTGATCCTGATGTCGGAGCGTCGGCCAGCTCCGGGAGCGCACGCCCTGACGGAGGTGGCTCTGGCTGCTCTGGAGTACAGCGAGAGCGAATCAGCCAAGTTGGCCATGGAGGCGGGCCTGAGCTCGTTCTCCCTCGGAGGAGGCCTCGGTGGAGGTGGAGGAGGAAAAGCCGCAGCTGCGGCTAAGACCAAAGCCAAGAAAAAACCTTTCAAAATAAAGACCTTCCTGGACGAGAAGGACTATTCGTTCTGTTCAGGTATGAAGACTTAAAAAGCCTCGAGTGCGAAAATTGTTACATTATTGACCCGTCTTGCAGGTGATGGAGAACTGGGCGCGGTGTTCCGCATACGTCGCATGAGGGCCGCCTGCAAACGTCTCTTGGACGCGGGGCATCGTCGACGCCGGCGGAAGCTACAGCAGCAGCAGCAGCAGCGTCGACGCAGCGGAATCACTGACGGCTACGTCAGCTCGGCCAGCAGCTACAGCCACCGGACCAGCGCGAGTTACTCGTCTTGCGACGACGTCACGCCGCTTCCCACCAACCGCCCGCCGGATACGTCCGTTTCTTCTTCAAAAGCTCCGGCGGTGAAAGAGGATCCTGGAGCTAGCTCTAGGCAGCAGCAGCCCCGAGCGGAAAGCGAGCCGAAAGCCCTACAAATGGATAAGGGAAAGGACAAGGGTGGTGACGGCAGCAGCAAAAAAAGACCGAGGACGGGCAAGAATCGGTGAGCTCAGTCTGTATACTTTATCTTGCTAATTTGCGAAGGAGCTTTGAGACTCGACTAGCTACTACTACTACTTTTTTTTCGACTGCGCAGAATATAAATCATGAATTTTCGAGAAAATTCTCGCCACGCTTGGCGTTTCTAACGTTTGCGTATAAATTTCAATAAGCAGAGAGACATGCTCGAGAGTTGAATAAATTCCCTTGATTTTTATTATTATTATTTTTGCATTCGTAACTTGGTACTTGATTCGAATCTCAAACTCAATTAATTGCAATTAACGGACAACCTCGCTGCCTTTCAGTGTATCGCCCGCTGCCGAGCCTCCAGTCGCTAAGACGATGATGCCACCATCGGTTGAGGCTGGCTCATCAAAGGACACCAGCGCGGAATCAAGGCCAGTAGGCGAATCGATATCGTCATCACAGTCAGCGGATCAACAGCAACAACAACAACAACAAGAAGCAGCATCGGCAGACAGTGTGGATCCCCTCGAACCCTGGAGTACGCGCGACATCAAAGATATGAATTCGATATTGTCCGCGAGCGGCCACGAGAGCCCTTGATCTTCGTGAATAGCCGCAGCTATTTTATCGACCTGCTGCAGCTGCGTAATTTAGTCTCGCGCGAGTGTGTGTGTGTGTGTGGTCTGCCCCGTTGGAATAATGGACTAATGCAGTTCATGCGCGCCGAACGAATTTCAATCTAAAAGGATTGAATTGAATTGATTACTCTCATTTCGATCACGAATAAATAAAAGTTTGGTCGATGGCCGATGCGGGCGCAAAAGCAAACAAAAGCATCATCCAAAACAATGCGTGCGTACACGTATTTCAACGATGTAGGCATTGATTAATTTTTTCGTTGCGCCGAAAAGAACTAAAAAAAAAAGAACGTAAAAATGACCTATTGTCGGTATACATATTTCGGCGCTTAACGAAATTGATGAAACGAAAAGTATATACGATATATGCGCCCGGCGAGCTACCATACGCACTTTTATGCGAAAAATTCATAATAGATAAATCGAGAGGAGTGAACCTGGAGAGAAGCTTAAATAAAAATTTAGTCTGCCTCGTCGCTTCCGTGTATATTATAGATAGATATAGATAGCGTGTGCGTATATCTATATGCAGTGCGGGCGTACAACAGGCTGAAAATTCAATTCGTACGCACTGTGTCGGCTATATACGTACTGTATTCTCATGCCTATATAGTACTCAAACGAAAGACAAAGTCCACTTTAATTTCCTCGATGTTCCGAGTGTCTGCGTACGGACAAAAAAAAGAGTAAATGGATCCTTTTGCTCGCGAACTGCGCGCGTGTACTCCAACGAGAGATGATTTTAACGTTAATCATTTATACCCAAGTGCGCGCGCGTGGTTGTGTGCAGTCTTAATTTTTTTAATCAATTTGGCTGAGATTATTTATTGCTCGCCGAACGAGCCCCGAGCCGAGTACGTGTACTCCGCGCGCGACAAAAAGTCAACGCAATCTATTTCGCTCTCGGCCGGCTAATCTTTTTTTTTTGCCTCGGCTCGCTCCCTTATATAGCTATTGTTCGGCGCACGTGTGCGTATGTACAACGCAAAGATTTAAAGCGTGATAATTTACTTGTAGTTATATGAGAGAGAGAGAGAGAGAGAGCCTGCCATAGCGACATCGACTTTTTTATCATCCATAAGTTGCAATTTTTCCCTTGGAACCGATAAATTTCTGGGATTAAATATTTTACAGTGTACAACTTTTTTCATTTCAATTATTTTGAATACGAGTGAAAAATGAATAATGAAAAATAATGCTCTCAGATGTGGTGACTATTTCTATTTTTATGAATTAAAATGAGAAATAACTTGAGCAGTTTGTAACAAAAAAATTGTGCGCCAGAAAATTCTCAAATATTCTAAATTTCATTCTTAAATTCATTCAATGATTTTCAAATAATTCTTTTAATTTAATTTTGATTGAAATAAATGTTTTTAGCAAAAGAGACTGTGTTGGGAAAAATGTTAATAAAATCATTTTTCATGCAGATAATCTCGCTAAATGGCTATTGCTCGTTGCATATAATTTGATTACAATAAATAAATTATTGTGCATGGTGTATATTAAAATTTTGAGGTTCAGCGTGTTTTTGACTTTTAATCTATTATTTATTTTCACAGCTCGAAAATCCAAATAAAAATAAATGAAAATTGTAAATACCAAATTCATCGTTGTATTTCGTTTGAGCTAGAATGTTTTAACGATTGTACTTTCAGTCAAAATTGGAGCGTACTGGCTATTCTAAAAGACATATTTTCTAAAATTACTCTATCCATAATGTTATTCTGAAAATTGTAGTATTATTTACGAAATAAAAATGACAAAAAAATACATTATTGATCGATTGCGAACGATTATTTCTTTTATTAACTGGCTTTTTTATTATATCTTACATTATTATACAATCACGAGCTTTCGTTCGCAGCCACCAAGTAAACATTGTACAAATCTTTGTTCGTGAATGATTCATCGATGATCATTTCACAGCACAGAATTGGCAGTCGGTAGCGCGTCAACTCCAATAACGAATCCAGCGCCAATTGCCGGAAAAATTTTCTGTGAACAATCAAGGTCATCCTCGTCTCCACTACCTTGCGAGATTTTTTTTATTCATCAAGCAATGGACGCACGATCGTGTAGTGCATTTGCGTGAATTTGTTGGCCGCTTCGTCGATTCGTATCCGCATGAGGTCGTAGAGCGACAGCTTCAACGTTACCATTATATCCGTTGCTTTCTCCGTAAAAATCTCGTCGTCGAACCATCGTTTGTCGAAATCCTCCGATATCTCGAACAATCCGTGCTTGTTGAAAAGTGTCAAGATCGTTAGGGTGGCGCGTCGATCGAGTATGTATCCTCTATTCTGTAGATGCCGGACGATGCCAAAAACGTCTGACATTAATTCCAATTCGAATCTTCTTGTGTATCTACAATCAGCGACTTTTAATTTATATAATTTGTATGATTCCATGTTCTTGTCGAAGTCACTCTCGGTGAGAAAAACGAAGCCAGATGGGTCAGCACCATTACTCAAAAGTGCGAAGACGGCGCGAGGCAAAATATGCACTACGGCCGTTTGCAGCGGTGTCCGACCCTTCTTGTCTCGGACATCGACCTGTACCACCCGATCAAATTGTTTATTGATCTGGAAAAATCGCTCCACTTTGTAATCATTCTCGTAATAAAGTTCGTAATTCTTGCAAATGATGTGCAGAGGAGTCGATCCCTTGGCATTGGCTAAATCCAAATGGACGCCATTTGTCAGCAGCAGCTCGATTGCCTTCTTGTTGTTGACCATCAGAGCCGAGTAATGTGGCGGGTTGCCCTGCTTGTCCTGGGCGTTAACCGGCAACGGCCGATATTTTTCGTAGCAGTTCTGGAACAATATCTCCGCGAAGTCACTCATGGAGGCTGCCCGACAAATAACTTGCAGAGGAGTCAATCCACCAACGACTGCATTCGGATCGGCGCCGTTCTTCAGCAGTAATTTGAAAACCGTCTTGTTTTTGTGCATAAGAGCCAAGTGCAGAGGCGTTAACTACCCAACTTGTCGCGGGCGTCGACCTGTATCCTCTTCTGAATATCGCTCTTGATCTCGAAGAATAGCTTCGCAAATTCTTTATCTTGAATATCGCAAATAATTCCCACAGGAGTCAATCCTTCCTTGTTGAACGAGTTCGGAGCAGCACCTGCTCTCAACAGCAATTCTACCATATTCCTTTTGTGATCCTTCAGAGCCAAATGCAGCAATGATTCACCCTTTCCTGGTAAGATGCAATTGGGATCTTGCCCAAGCTCGAGAAATTTTTCGATAACGTCATAAATGTAGTTCTCGCAGGCCACGTGGAAGTGCGAGAGGCCAGACTTGTCGGTGTAAATTCATGTTGAAGAATCTGTAGCATCTGGCCGCATGATGCAGCGGTGTGGTGCGACATGTAACTGGCTTGCCGTCTTCATCAATTGCAGGCTCGTCTGCGTAGCCGCTGCTAACCACAAACTCGACGAATTTTTCTCCTAGATGAGAATTCTCGTCTTTATACTTGTTATTTACGGAATCCAAAAGAAGACGCTCGATCTCTTGAGAGGAAAAAATGTCTCGAAGATCTGGGTACTGTTCATTCCAATCTTTGCACAATAAGTCTAGCTCTCTGATAAAGTTTAATCGCTGTTGTTCTTTTTTCCAATCGACCCTTCTTCGGATTAACTTCATCTTTACGAAAGATTTCTTGTTATCGGCCATTCTTTTATACACTAACGCACAAAAACACGACCGTTTATAATTTATCAAGATACTTTTTAATTTTTTTCACTAAACTACACGTGTTGCGATGAATGCGATCGTCCAACGTTGCGCCGTAACGTACACTGACGATACATGCACCATACGATATGTGTGAAAAGTGAAAAGCTGTACTAAATGCAAGTAATGTAGCTTGAGTACTATGAAAATTAGTAGTTCAACTCGATATAACCGTACGAAAAATCCTAAATCCAGCGTAGTAGGGCCTAGACGCAGACGTTGCTTCCGCCTCGCTTTACTTTCACTTTTTAATTGCTGCCAAATCAAGAGACTCCAACTGTTACACGTAGGTGTCGTTTTACGGCAACCAACATGCACAGACGTGCGCAATAATGCGTTAGAAACGTAAAAATATACGAAACTACAGATGCGTAGCAATGTGGCAGCTTTCATCAAACTTAGAAGGAAGGAATCAAATACGATAGCTATCAAAACTATTTTCACATTCACGCTTTGACTTATACAATTATTTTTAATTTGCCACTTGCAGATTTACAAATAAAGGTACTCGCCATCTAGTGGTAGAGGCTTAAAAAGGTAAAGTGATTGAAAACTGGTCTAAATTGTTGGGAACAATGAAATTGTCATTTTTAACTCGAATAATTTCCAAAAACAAGTCAATTAATGATCATCTATTTTAAAGTATTTCAAATTGACATTATTTGATCACGAAGCCATCATTAATATTGAAAATTTCTACCAGGGATTTTCCAAGTGAATTTTTTGTAGTTATTACGAATTCGATTCCAATTCAAGAGATGCAAAATATTATTTATTCATTGTATGCTATTAATAAAATATCATACCGTTTCAAAATATGCGCGTAGCACATGTTTGTAAAGTTTTACATGAGAAAAATTTAGCTTTTCTCTTTGACTTTAGTGAAGTAATCAATATATGTGATTCAATGAGACAATTTATTACCAACCACAAAGATCAGAATATTCAGAATATTTATTTTCTGCGGAATACATTTAGATAGCACATAGTTTTCTGCTTGCTATGACCTAAAGTATTTTCCAAAAATATCATTATTTGTTTCACGTTCATAATAAATAAAATCTGAAATCGTATATATTTTTGTTAAGAGTTGAAAAGAAGCTTTTCAAAGAGTTATGAGTTCAGTGTAACCATATTTTAGTAGCTTTACATTTCACAACTTTTCAAAATCAATACTACACTCTTACAACTTTGCTTCAAGTATAAGTATTGATTTATTGAA